AAGGTACATGCCCTTGACCGGAATCGACCCCGGGACCCTTGAGTCCGCAGGCTGACGCTCTATCCACTGAGCCAAACCGGTTTGGCCCATTCGTACATCTTAATCCCTTTACTTTTTTCATCCAGTCCCCCAACCCCATCAAGCAACTGTCAAAATGTTCTGTTTCTATGAGTCTGTTTCTGTTCCACTTGTTCGTTTGATTTTTAGATTCAATTGTTGATATGTATTTATTGTCATTTTATTGTTCACATATTTAGCCTATTTTTTCTTATCCTCCTTAAAGAAGACCCTTTCTTATTTCATATAATACTAGTTTGATAGTGATGAACTCCTTTAGCTTTTTCTTGTCTGGGAAGCTCTTTATCTGTCCTTCAATTCTAAAAGAGAGCCTTGCTGAATGATCTTGGTTGTAGGTCCTGCTTTTCATCACCTTGCATATTTTCTGCCACTCCCTTGGGCCTAAAGTTTGAGAAATTAATCGACAATCGTAAGGGTGCTCCCTTGTAGGTAACTAATTGCTTTTCTTTGCTTTTAAGATTGTCTTTAATTAAATGTCTTTGGCATTTTAATTGTGATGTGTCTTGGTGTGGGCCTCTTTGGGTTTGTCTTGTTTGGGACTCTCTGTGCTTTCTGGGCTGTGTGTCTATTTCCTTTACCAGGTTAGGGAAGTTTCCTATATTTTTAAGTAGGTTTTCAATTTCTTGCTCTCTCTTCTCCATATGGCATCCACATGATGCAAATGTTGGTATGCTTGAAGTTGTCCCAAAGGCTCCTTATACTATCTTCATTTTTTTTTAACTCCTTTTTCTTTCTGCTTTTCTGATTGGGTGTTTTTTTTGCTTCCTTAATTCCAAATCACTGATTTGATTCTCAGCTTCATCTACTCTGTTGACTCCTCTAAATTATTCATTTCAGTGAGTGTGTGCTTCATCTCTGATTGATTCTTTTTATGGTTTCTATGACCTTTTTTTCATGCTGTTGAAGTCCTCACTGAGTTCCTTGAGCATTCTTATAACCATAGTTTGCTTGCCTGCATTTCATTTAGTTTTTTTCAGGAGCTTTCTTGTTTTTTTCATTTGGGAGATGTTTCTTTGTCTCTGCATTTTGGCTGCTTCCCTGTGTTTGTTTCTATGTATTGGGTAGAGTTGCTATGTCTCCTGAAATTGGTAGAGTGGCCTTGTGTAGTAGGTGTCCTGTAGGACACAGTGGCTCAGCCTCCCCCGTCACCTGAGCTGGGCACTCCAGGTGCGCACCTATATGCACTGCCTTGTTGTAGTTGAGCTTTAATTGCTGTTGGTGTCACTGGAGTAGACTGACACCTAGGCCCAATTGGCTGTGAGGACCAGCTGTGACTACAGTGGAGAAGCTGCTGTGTAGGAGACACCCTTATAGAGCAGGACTTGCTTCAGTGGGGCTTTGGTGCTCACTGAGTCTGCACCTTGAATGTCGCTCATGGAGATAGTAGTGTTGTAATCTGGCGTGGTCTGAAGCTGCTGACTAGGTGCACTGGCTCTGGGACCTCCCAGGAATTGCAAGGTCAGTCACCACCTATGCCCTACTTGGGGTCACCTGGCAGGAGCTACAGAGCAATCTGCAGATGGCTGCCATTTGTGCTGAGTTTCGAGGTGCCCAGGAGAGGCCAAGGTGCAAACCAAGGCCGGCTGCCACAAGTGCTGGGCCTGGGGACACTGAACGAGAGGTATGGGGCATGCTGAGCCCAAATGCTGCTTGTTTGCAATTTGTGAACCTTTGAGAAATTTCAATAAAGTCTGCAGCAGATGCCAAGACTGATAGGTAGTATGAAAAAGTCACTGGAGCCCTTGCCTGTTTGGCTCATTGAATAGAGTGTCGGCCTTTGGACTGAAGGGTCCCAAGTTCAATTTAGGTTAAGGGCAAATACCTCAGTTGCAGTCTCAATCCCTGGCCCTGGTCGCGGCACATGCAGGAGGCAACCAGTCGATGTGTCTTTCACATCAATGTTTCTCTCTGTCTCTCCCCCTTCCTTCTACGATCTCTAAAAATCAATGGAAAAATATCTTTGGGTGAGGATTAACAAAAAAGAAAAGCCACTGGAAACAGCTTAGATGGGCCCAGAAATTGGGTGGGGTCTCAGGGAATCACCAGGGTGGGGGAAACAACGTGAGCCAGGTTGATGGAGAGTCAGACATGGTGCCCCTCTGTGG